TTGGCTGCCAAGTGACATTGGTAGGGCACCAAGGGCCGCCCATCCAATTGGTCAAAGGTCTCCATCTCTAGTCCAAGCTCTGCGGTCAATTCCCGCAAATACTCTGCGCAGCGCAATTCCTTGCTGCTGAATCCGTAGCGCTTCCATGTGGAGGAGCCAAAACGCTCGTCTGGACAGGGACACCAAACGGACAGGGACGCTCGTCTGACTCGTCTGAGCTGTGCAAACACTTATATTTACAATCACTAGTGTTGCAGCGACATGACAAAACATCGTTATCTCCCTGGTGGAGCTACAGTGTCTGGTTCTACGGGGCTGGCCAATTCCAAACAACCGACACAAACATCGTTTTTAAGACCCCTGACCATCCATTATAACTCAAAAAGCACACTGTTGGGTGGTGGGTTTGTTGCAACCTGAGGCACTGTAAATGGTGATGACATCCGGCTCATCAGGCTTTGCCGGAAGCAGCGGTGGACCTCGACGGAAGTTTTGTAAAGCCAGAATGATGTAGAAGTTCTCATCCACGACGCGCATTTGTTTCAGTCCAGGCCGATCTTTATAATATTGAATTGCCTTGGCATGTTCACTTCGGATAGTTCAATGAAATACTGGTCATGACCCCTGAAGTTCATCTGCCGCATGAGCAGCAAACAAAATGTAGCCAAATACCATTTGACATGATTATTATCGTTTTTGGTGGGGCCCATATCGTTCTCCAATGTTTCTCCAAATCGTAGTGAGCATAGCATACCGGCACATAGACGGAAACACAAAATAGTACACACAATATAACTCACAACCTCAAATTAGAGGCTTACAGTGCTTTCTGCACAGGATTGGTACAGCACTTGATTTATGCACTTGGGTTCTTGTGGCACTGGGTCACAACACATAAGCGGGGACCTAGTAGCTCGGCCCATGAACAAACACTAGTAATGTGGAGAAGTAGGTCTGCAAAGTGCCTGGAATGGCATTTAGGTTATCGTTCGCTTATCGTTTGGGAAGTTGTCTGGGACTATCACCATGAAAAGTTGTGCCCATCAGTTTAGCTCATGTATGCTCAAAAAAACATGCAAATACAATGACATTTTGCAACCACAAACGTCTTTGTACCCACTACATCTTAACAAGATTATCGTTTTTGGCCGGGACCATATCGCTTTCCACAGAAACAAAGCCCTCAACATAGGTTTAGGGTCATACCGTGACTAAATAAGTCCAATAATTTGGTCCGTCGCTCACATGATTGTGTCCCTCCACACCGCAATCTCTTGGGATCAGGTAAAACAACAGCGCAACATGGTGGAACCCGCGCAACAACGGCGCGGAACACGACCTTCGCCACTGGAACACGACTGGCGGCCTGCCCCCTTCGACTGCGGCACCCCGTAGGCGGTCTGGGCCATCATTCTGAAGAAGGGCGAGGCCCACGTGGCCCACGCGTCCATCGGTGTGCTATACACATGCACCACTTGGAAGGTTTCACCTCGGTTTCCACCAACGGATCGATGGGTGCATCCCAAACGGGGTGCACCGACGCGAGGGACCTGGACCGAGGCATATCGGAGGCAGGGGTGAAGCACGAGGAAGTCGGTCAGTCGACCGCAGAATGCACTGAAGTGCAGTGATGTCGTATTTGCGTGTAAGAGATTGTGGGACTATGTGGGATTCTGGACACCAAAGGGTTGTGAGGCAACACGCCCTGGATGAAAGCATCCACACTGCCCGCACCAGAAAGTCATAGCAAGTCCCAAGTTGCCGTCATCTTCCTTCCGCCAAATCATCATGCTCTCGAACCCCTCGTTTTCTAGGAAGATCGCATACGTGCCTGCAGCTCAAGCAGCAAATTACATAAGGCTTCTCGAGCGGCCAAATACGTCTTTTCCGCTTGGGCTCGTGGTTTCTCTGTGTTTTGAAGTTCCTACAGCAGCCGCAAACAAAATAACATTTTAACAAATTTCAGCTGATTTCAACTGGAATGACTGAATCTGCCCTCGCACTCAGAGGACTTTGCAATACCATCACCCCACAACCGTTTCAAGCAAAATTGCCGGGGACCCGAACATACGCGGTCGAAACACCGTTTCCGGCGCAGCAGGATAGAGAAACCCTTCGCACGACGTAGCAGTAGACGTAGCAAACGAAGAAGTGTCGGGGATCGGTCGTCCGTCTCGCTTCGACCCGGTCTAGTGACTGGTCACATGACTGGCCACGGCGTGGTGTTTCAAAAAGACGACTGGCCACTGAAGAGGAAAGAACTTCCATCCCAAAGTTGCTGATCCTGCGGGTCTATAAGCACCCTCTTAGATCTATAATGATCTATAGTTGGAGTCTGTTAGTTAGTATTTTAATATAGTTTAATGTGTTTTAAGACGTTATGAGTTGGGCAAGCACACGCAAGCACCCATTCCTGACGATCAATGAACTTTCCGAGCGATTTTAGGTTGCGGGTCAGTATTGTTTGAGTCCTGTCGAGTCAACGACGATATGGGTTGGGTCTATCCCACTACCTGTAACAGTGGATGATGATGGTTCGTCAAGGCCTTGCTCAAGAATAGAGATAATTGTTTACTGACTGTTACAGGTAATGGGACAAACCCAAGATATGGGCACCTTTCGAGCCTTGAGATACCGATCAATGTGGTGCAGTCCATCTGACGGGTCTGATGGATTTCCTAAACACATCTGCAGGTCACCTGCGTGCTGTACTCAAACATGAATGCGGCTTTCTTTTGTTGCAATGTCTGCACTCAGGTTGTGCGTGGAGTTTTCCCACAGCATACGGCATTGATGTCGCCCAGTTGCTATCGCCTTTTTCAGGGAAGTTTTTGCGGCACTGATGTCGCGCCAAAACGGGCTTGTTGCTGTAGAGGAAGTCGTTCAAAGAAGGCCCGACAAAATCACCAAAAAGCAAGGCCAGCGTACCTCGGAGCTAGCATGCGACCATCACCGCCTGGATCCAAACGACACCATCACGACTGGGGTATGAATGTAGGAGTCCCTCAAAACATACCATTTTTGTCTTTAGCAACTCTATCATTATCTATCATCGTGCACGAATTCAATGATTTCTGAAAGAGTGGTGGGTGGGAAGTGTCATAAACGACATTGAAACTCATTAATGGTAGGCCATCAGGAGAAACATGGAGAAACCATGTCAGGTGGTTTTGATGGCTTCACCGCTGACGACGCGCATGGTGGTCGACTGGTCCACTTCGAGCTACGATGGAAGACATGGCTGCTTGATTGCTCCACCAAAGAGTCGCCAGGTGCGAATGTCTTGATCCTGACAGCATCTGGCAGGGAGATGCAGGGAGTGCGGGTAAATCTCAAGTGCCAAAGCATTTGGGCCTAAAAACCACCACAAAATGGCAACATGCCAAGCATGACACGTGACACCGCTTGTCGGTTGCATCATGTTGCAGCGGTGTCATCTCTGACAGTTGGTGTCATTTCTTTTGACGTGTCATTTGGGTTCATCTGGCAGTACAATTAAGTATATATAGTGATACTCTCTGTCATGAGAATGATTGTCTCCGAATTGATGCGGGATGGGAACCTGGAGTATGGAACTAGACCACGTAGCTAGTAGCAGCCATGACCTAGGCAAAGGACCCGCACGGTGACCGCCAAGCATCGTCAAGATATTCACTGCAATCTGTCGGTTAATAAACGCCCCTTTTCATATATATATATATGGGGTGTTTATTTATTCAGAGTCTGGGTTAACAGCCCGTGAGTCGGCGTTAACAGCCCGAAGCCGTGAGTCCAGCGATGGGTTCGGAGTTCACGTGGTCAGCCTGGTCCCACAAAGGTCTCTCCTCCCGAGATGGTGTTGCGGAGCTCGTGACCCGACATCCCCCGCCCTGCGACCATCCCCCGCCCTCGCGCCAGCGAACGGACATGCCATCCATGTAGCGATCGTGCATCTGTCCGCTCACCTCGGGCCTCACCATGACCTGATGGTAGCATCTGTCCGCGTTACTAGGAGCGATCGGACGCTACTTGTTCGGCATCGGCCACCGTCGATCCGACGCAGCCACTCGTCTAAAGCGGAGCACGGGGGGTGTTCAAATGCAGCTGATCCCGGGTGCACTCTCGACCTACCTTCATTCCCCAAAGCAGCAAAGGTACCAATAGTAAAATCCAAGTCTTGGCTGGATTCCACTGCCACACCAAAGTGAGCCAAAGAAATAACAGGAAATAACATCATCAGGGAACACTCAAAACCCCCTACAACCAAACAACTAAAAGAAAAAACATGACGTTGCTGAGTATGGCACTATCTGGTCTGCACGTCAGCAAACGCCTGATTCTTCCAACAAAAGGACCAAAACTCTTGGCACAATCCAAGTGACATCAGATGAGTTCTCAGGTGTGTCACAAAGGCTCAAGTTCCGGAACACGAACTTCACCAAATGGCCACGAGGACCAGGCCGATGAAATAAATGGGCTCCGGAGTGGGAGCCCGCCAGCTCCTGAGTCTCATCACAGTAGTCACTGCTAGCCTGATGGCATAGCATGCCATGGCTAATGTGATTTTGCCATGCTCCCAGCCCCTTCCGCTGAATCAATTGATACCTTCCGCATCCATCCGCTGACCTCAAACAAAGGGACGCATCGATTGAACGCCCAGATGCCCAGTTTGATTCGGAGATGTTCTCTGCTGCCATGCTGAGCCATGCATTGATCCTCTCCGTTGTTGCCACCATGGAGTTGCAGCTTGTTTGAGCTGTGGCAGTGGCTGCAGGCTGATGAGCACACATCCCGGAATTCCAATCACGCAACAGTGGTGTGGGAACCTTCTTCGTCACGAACTCAATGCTTTTCAGAATCCGCCCAAGGCAAATTAATCAATGTAGACTCATTAGTAAAGCCCCCCTAATGTCCAAATTCGGTGTGTGTGTGTGTTTGTGTGCGCGAATGTTTTTATAATAGAGTCTACAGTCTACATGATGTTCGGCACAATGTCAAAGTCTGCCACCTGAGGTCTCAACCAAGGAGGTGGCCGACGCGACCCAAACCAATCCAGTGTCAACGAAGGTCTGGTCGTCCACAGAGTAGTAAATGGGGTAAGTACCTGCCGGATGAGGCAAGCCAGTCCCTACGTACAAGTGGCCAGTGGGAACCCATGTCAGCGAGCAATCGCAAGATAATGTCACCGCAGGGCTCATCTAAACAATAAGAGACGCAGGTGGCCACAACCAAATGAGCAACCCTGTCACTAAGCTAGCCAAAATGGAACTGAAGTCAACAAAAAATTGCCCCTCAAGTCAGCATTGGTTGTTCCCATAGGCCGATGTTCGAGCTTCAGGCTGGCTCATATCATCCACCGCCAAAAAGTCGGCTCTTCTCGGCTTGACTGGCCATAAACTGGGGTAGCGGCCTGACTGGTTCGTCGTAGGGAATGGTCAGACATCCCTCCAACAAAAAACAAACCAACACACCCATTCTGTGAAGGTTCCTTCGTGTTCCTTCCATTTCATTGCCCAAATTCTGGGGAAAACCCAAAACAAGCCTCCGGATGATCACCTTCTAGCACCCTCTGCCGAACTCCTTGACACTCTCCATCAGTTCCTCCGCCCTATCGGCCCATGGCGCCTGGCTCCGCCTGCTCAGGTGCCATCGCGCGAAGTGTTTCGGCCGTGGACAAGGCCGCTGAGACCTGGCGGCGTGGTCTGGCGCCGGAGAGGGTGAACAATGTTCTTTCGAGTTGCTACTGTAATAGCGATGACCTCCAACCTAAGAGCGATGGCCTCCAACATACGAGCGACAGACTCCAACCTAACAGAAATGACCTCCAACCCAAGAGCGATGACCTCCAACCTAAGAGCGATGACCTCCAACCTAAGAGCGATGACCTCCAACCTAAGAGCGATGACCTCCAACCTAAAAGCGATAGCCTCCAACCTAACAGCGATGACCTCCAACTTACGACCGATAGCCTCCAACCTAACAGCGATGACCTCCAACCTAAGAGCGATGGCCTCCAACATACGAGCGACAGACTCCAACCTAACAGAAGTGACCTCCAACCCAAGAGCGATGACCTCCAACCTAAGAGCGATGACCTCCAACCTAAGAGCGATGACCTCCAACCTAAGAGCGATGACCTCCA